CCTCACTGTGAATCCTCATTAATGTTTCCTTTTTTCAGTTCAACCTTGTTCTTTTCTATTTTGCTGCTACACAAACCTACTACATTTAGCTGCTAAAGTCATACCATATTTTTCACCGACATGATTTTTGTTATTGAAATAACAGTACAGACAATAACATCATATCAATCAATGTGGTATCATTCATCAGTCTATTTATAATACTTTATCGTAATCCCTCAGGGCATAACGTTTTTACAATATACAGAAACAGAGGTGGTGGTGGGGGGGGGGGGGGGGGGGTAAATGTTTGTCACACCAGTCTTGTATATATCATAAATATATTTTATCAAACTCATATCTTTCTATGCCAATGTAAATAATGAATTGTGATCTGCTGCATGAGAAAGAATGTGTTTGTGTGTTGCCAATAAATTTTCAAGTGGCATCCTTTATCTCTCCCTGAATGGTTTCAAGATAGCTGAAAGTGCACAATAAAAGTCCAAATGATGCAATGAAAATTGAGGCATCTGACATTGAAATGTTGATATACCAAATACAGGTGACCTTGGGATGTTCACCCAGACAGTCATTATACATGAACCCTGATCTATCATTACAATGATAGGTCTATACTGCATCCTCGTTTTTCGTTGCCCATCTGATTATCATTCCTGTGAATGGGTCATCAATAGATTACTTTCAAGTACTAGCTGGCATCATGGGTGGCAATATGCTTGCAACTCCTAAAATATGAGCTGATTCCTGCATATTTTACGTGGAAAGTTGCACTGCATGGGATGGTTTATGATATCAACAAATGATTTCAGGTCAAGATAAGTACATTCCATACCCATTTAGGGTGATGGAATACAAAGCACTTTCAACTTTCTCACAAACTACAACTAAACTAAAAAGGTGTCTTGAATATGGATCGGGTTCGAGGTAACAAATATTCTAGTGTCAGTTACCTAATAGTAAATTCCCATCTAATGTAATTAAATTATCAGATCTAGGGTACAGTATACAATAAACCTACTTTAATACCAAGAAATTCTTGACAATTACTCTTTTCATATAATAGGTATTGCTTGCATTAGCTGAATGTATAGGTGCAAAGAATGAAGCAGCATTTGTCCTCCATTTTATCTTCTCATTGTCTCCCTAAAACTTCAAAAGCAGTCCTATCACAAAACGTGTTTACATGTCTCCTTCAATTATGTTATTATCTGTCATTATCTTTTGCCTTCACAGGTTTTTTGGTTCTCAGAAATTACTCAAAAGGGGCTACCTGTCTGGAATATTTAACTCTCAATGGTTAAGGTACTAAATGAGTTGTTGAAAGCAAGGATATACGGTATTTCTCCTTGGTTGAAGGGATAATGTGTGACTTTGCAGGTACAGTTGTATGATGTACAAGAGAGAGAGAGAGAGAGAGAGAGAGAGAGAGAGAGAGGAGGGAGAAAGAGAAAGTCAGACAGAAAAGACACAGAGAGAGATAAAGAGAAAAATAGAGATAGAGAGAAAGAGAGAGAGAGAGAGAGAGATAGATAGATAGAGAGGAGGTAAATGAGAGGAGGTAAAAAAGATACAGACAGTATGTAAATGGGCCCATATACAGGGTGTTAAAAGACACACAAAAATGGATAAAGAGCCAAGAGAGCTAAATTGAGGGATGCTACATCATGAGCTGATAAAATATAATAATTGTAGACACACTTGTATAAAGGGAAATCCAATATTGATAGCAAACAACTAAAAAGGAAAGCAGAAAAGTAAAAGAGGCAGTTTCCATTCTGTTCTTCTTTTCTTTAATTCAATTCAAATGAATCTTATGACAATATTGGATTGCCCTTTAATTAGTTTATGTTGCATTAGACAGCTGTTCCCCCAAACAATATCTGCACGTATCTTTGGGGATGTCTTTCCCCTAAATAAAAATAAATGGTGCATGAAATAGGACACAAATCGTTGATAATCCCTTAGAGTTTCTTTCTCTTAGAAAAGCTTCTTAACACCTTTCTTTTTAACTCCAATCCGCTTAAATTGAAAACAGACCTATTCCTAGGGCCTACTGCACCAAAATTTCCATTTTTCGTACATGAATGACAGGTCCTAATTGGCCGACAATAACCCGGGTGGTTTAACCCATCCAAATTGGGGTCAACGGGCCTATTGAAGGGGGACTTGGACCACTTAAAGGAGGGCCCCGTGGGAAAGGGTCCTACTAAGGTAAATAGGACCTGGCAGCGGCTTTCTAAGATGGTAGTAACAGTAGTACATGTACTATGTTCTTGTAGACTTTATAGTACAAGAATATTGATTTACAGTAAGAAAAAAAAGACATGCTGTTACAAAATTTCTGTAAAATGTAGACCTATGCAAGTATGAAATTAAAAAAAAAATATCTGTGTTGCTCAGATGCAGAACTTTAAGGTAATACAAAGTTTTGGTATGGGGTCGTGAATTTGCTTCAAATTAACATATTGGAAGCATATGCAATCCTACAATATTCACTGATCGTTGTCTCGGTCGAAATCGACTCTAAAGTTATGAAATTGTCAATAATAAACACTTAATGTTGTATAGCTCCCTCTCAAGGTCAAGATATTAATTAAGCTATAAAACAATGTTTCTTGACTAAAATCAACCGATTAGCTATTCTCGTTCGGAAATTATATACCACAACTACATATTCTGAGATTTTCATGGTCGCAGCTACCATTGTACGGCCGTAGGAGATATTTGAAATTTATCAAAATTTACCAGGAGCACCGGTAAATCCTTTTATTCAATTTTTCTCAAAAGCAGAAGTGTTTTAGGAGCTAAAGATTTTAGTGTTTTTAATACATCCACAGGGGCATCCAAATATATAAAAATTGTAAAGAATCACTATCAAACCATTTTTAAACATTTCCCAAAACTTTGTAATACCTTTAAGTTTGGGGAACAAAGTTTATTTGTCCCCTATCTATCCACTTTCCCTGACTTTTGATGTTGTTTCAAAACCTGGTGCATTCTGAGGTTTGCCTCTATGCATTCCAGAGTGTTGTCTAAAGCTGATATTTAACCAATTGACATTTTATTTTTAAACCATGAGATAATGGTCTAAAAAAAAAAGAAGGTATGATCTAATCATAACTAGTTGCAGGACCTGTGTTCTGTAGACAGCAATGGCTTTCAAGGGATTAAGTAGTATGGCTACGAAAGTATTGAACATCTGCTCAACAATTTGTGATTTTCTTTTGGGCATTTACAAAGTCTAAGAAATCATCTCTATTTGTTACATGTATAGGACCTACATGGAAATTGGCATCTTCACAGTCCAACATAACTTATAACCCATTGATGATGCAAGTAGAAATCACTGATGCTTTGCACACTTATCTTCATCATTTTCATTAAACAAAATTGCAGTAATTCATACAAAAATATACAAAGATACGTGGATTGTTGAATTTTCATCCACAGGCCTTCTTTTTTCTTACTAAAAATCCTCTATTTAGACTGACATAAACCCATATGACCTCAACACAGATGGTTACCATGCCTGCCCACACTGAACTTCACCTTTAGATACAAGACAATGGCTGTTCATTTGTGAAGGGTATTTTGTCAATAATTTCTGACACTTTACAGATGGGTCTTTCTACGATATACAATAGGAGTATTTCATATGCTCAATTCTGATTGAATCGATGAAATGATTTTTGAAAGAGATTTCTAAGTATGGGTCCCATTGAAGTATGGTGAAACCACAAACAGGTCTATATCAAGCCTAGTATACTAGCTGATCAGGAACAAGAAATAGCCGACCTCACATTAAAAGCTCCTAAAACTGGATGCACCACAAGAATGGCATTTAAATGGAACTCAAAATATATTAAAGAAGTTACCCATATTAACGTGATCAGTCCATTTTATGAAGCATTTTAAAGCTTCTAACTTCAGTAATGGTTCAGCTATTAAAGTGAGCATTTGATTTCATTTCTCAAAATTTACATCTGTGGTACACGTAGTTTGCAATTTGAGCTCAGACTCTTGTTTACATTTTAGCCTGGAAAATGGCATGGCGGTAACTATACATGTAAATCACTGGCGATATGTTCTTTATGACATGTACTCACTGCACACACTTTTTTTGCTTGCAATTATACATGCAGTAGGCCCCATATACATGTACTTAATTTAGTTCACATTTGCTAATGTTTCAGATGAGTAGGTACACCTGTGCATGTACATATGTTTTATTGTGGGTACAGTATGTAAAAACACAATCATACCCCTCATTTAGTGTAATTCCGACTGAATTGTAAGATTTCTGTGCTTGCTGTAAATCATAGAGAGAGACAGAGTGATGTATTAAACTGCCAGAGGCTAAATAATGAACTGTCATGATTATATCTATTCAGTCCATCTTGTGAAACAAGTCCCTGAGTTCTTCTCATAAACAGTTCTCGATGATGATCAACGATGTGATGAGATGGAAAATAACAACTTGCTTTCCATGCATAAAAAAACATTATGATGACAGAAATCTAATGAAATGGATCATTAATTATAATCAAAACCCATCTTCAGTATCAACACAAAACATCACACCGGTACTTTTTTTAATGGAAATGTTACTCTACCATAACTGCATGCCCCATAATAGTACAATAGCTTGCAGAGTTCAATCAAAATACAAATTCCTATCACTGTCTATATCAACAGAAATTAATGATTGAAAATGGTAGGTGTAAATTTAAAGAGGAAGATTCATACATTTTGAACAAAAATCATTTCTGGAAAACTTTCAATTTTTGTTTAGGTCCTGAGTCTTAACACTGTCGTACAAAAATCCATATATTTGAGGATGCACAACTGAAATATTCTAGGTCAAGATAAATTTCTGGTGCAGATCTCTGCACACTGGTACTGCGAACTGGCACACTGACAATTTTCCTCTTCTTAGATACTAATTTCTATTTTGGAGCAGTTGTTGTTCAATAAGATGATTATAAAAAAGATATACCAACCTGATTGCAATAAGCTGACTTTCATAAACTTCTTGATGAAGTTTGTGTACCCTGTTGAGAGCAGAACTCTTGGACATCCAGCTGTTGGTAGCTGCAGCATTGACCTCACACGACCTCTTAGGATCCACCTGAGACTGGTTACATATGATCTTCTCCAATCTTTCAAACACCTCTCTGGAGACGAGCCTCTTGCCCACAATCCTCCTATCTCCCCAGGTGCCTCTGATGGCATGAGGCTCGCTCAGGTTCACGCTTCCAACATGGAAGGAGATGTTCCCAGCGTAGATCTGGTCACAATTTGTGGTCCCGTAGCACAACGGACACCTCTCCTCTTCCAGCAGCGATGGAAACAGATTCTCAAATTGGAGTCTTGTTGTCATGACAACTGTAGCATTCTTCATCCCTTGCACTCCATCCTGAGTCAGGGCAGTCTCATCCCCTGCCTGTATCCTCGGGTGTCCTTTGATTTCATCCGCTGTTCTTATATCTTGCAAGGTTCTTCGAGTGTCTTTGCTATCGAATCCAAGTTCTTCCTTCCCTTGTTTCCCTGCATGGAGCAAGTTTCTTTTACGGTCTCCCTTGCTGGGTACAAAAGTTCTGAACTTTCCGTTAGTACTGGGCAAGGCATTGTTGTCATCATCCCTCAGGCTGTTCAAACCTGTTAGCTGGACGGTGAATATAGTGAAGAGGATGGAGCTCCCCAGGATGAGTATCTTCTTGCGTATCCGTGGACCCATCTTGAACCTTGTGGTTTTTCCTCAAATCAAAGCCCTGTCATCACCGCTTCATCTCTGGGTTGAATATGTTGTCCATCCAGGATCTTGCTCAAATGTGATCTGGAGAAAATGAAATCATGGGAAAGAGGAAGTGGGTAAATACCATGTATTATTATCAATTAAACTTCAAGCATGACTGTAGCACATTTTGTTGACAACAGAAACAAAAAAGAAAATTTCTCAAGAACTTCATTTCTGATAGAAATAGAGAGCAAATAAGCTGCCCTGCAATATTCTATTCTTTCATATTATCCCCTCTTGATAATCAAATATTGATTTTACCTTGTCGAACACCAAATGATCAAAACATCTTTGTATGAACTTAATGCCGGAAGTATGTCATGTACACACAGCCTTTTCAGAATCAATTCACCCATGCAATGACTTTAACAATATGTTTCTTCAAAGAAAATTGTAATCAAAGGTCATTAAAATTCAAGGTGGAACCTCTTAACACTTGTTATTAGGATCATACAAGTTCAGGTGAATAGAATAGGTACATTATGCACAGCATCTCCAAGAAAACTTTTTTTAAAGCCTGCAGTGTACATATTCAAGAAAAGAAAAAGCTGTATAATGTGTAGAGTAGATGTATATATTCTTTCCAAGCTCCAGATATTACTACCAGTTCAATACTACTACAATTGTATACAAGTTCACAGTCTGTTCCTATAGTGTGTACTTCCTGAGCCCAAGTCCAATGGCATTACCATTGCTAGTATGGTATGAGCGCATGGTTTAAGTTTCCCAGATATCCAGCATGGCCATGCAACGATTCTGTCAACACCATACTGTAAGATCATCTGAAGAAATAAATAAGACATTACAAACTTCCAAAACTCAGTGAGCTAGGAAGCTAGAAGATGCTCCGCCCTAGACAGAGATGAAGGGATTCAACGTGGACTTTCAATCAGCGGACATGATGTGCTCCACTTAAAATACCAGACGTAGCAGAGGGGTATTGGGTTGGAAGCAAGGGATGAAGGAAGCCTAAGATGATTTGATGAGAGATAACTAAGGAGTAACACGAGATGCAGAAAGAGATGTGGTTATTCCTCCATACACCTCTCTCTCTCTCTCTTTACTAGCCTTTAGGTTTTCATGGTATACGGTACATGTAAATTTCAAATATTGCATTTGGTCCTGAATGAAAATTGACCACAAGTTGATCAAATTTCGAAATGACAATTTCCCCCAAAACCTTGTTCGCAGTTTCTTTGTCTTCCTTTATCTGAACAGAGAAGGCTGTATTTCTCTGTCTCACAGTATGTCTCCCAATATTTGTCACTATGATGTTACAGAAGCATACATGACTTAGGGAAACTTACAAATACACCATTGAATTAAACATGTAGGTATTTCAAATGCATTCTACATTGTACCATCCAATTTGAATACCGGTAATGAGGCAATATTCAGCATAACAACATCGGTGGAGGAAGAAAGCAATAGGAGAAGCACTCCATGGTAGACATTTCGGAAGCGGAACACGTACATAAAGACTGGAAAATTAATGTCATGTTTCCTTTATGCCCTTTCTCCATGTCATATTGCGTTCTATTTCATAAAGCTGCAGTTACCGGTAAACCTCTTAAAGCAAGCCAGGTCCAGCGGTGACTCACTGTGGTGCTTTCAGGAGAGCTGAGCCAAGGGAGAGCATCACAAAGAACCATGTCTACAATAAAGAGACACTTGAGGATATCCCCAAGCTGATTATCTCACCTAAGTTTCATCCGCTCCTTTGAAGTTTGAGGAAGGGTTAAGTATGTGCCAAAGGGTTTACTCTCTCTCTATTCTTGCAAGGAGATACCAGCGATTCTTCAGACCTCAGTAAGAAGGCATACAGTGAACAGGTTTCTTTTGTCAATCCCTTTTTTCTTTCATTCTATTACTGACCCTCCCTTCCTCTAGGGCTCCTAACCTAACCACAAAGTACAAGTAACCTTCATGTTTAGCACTGTCTTATTAAAAAGAATCGAAACTTAAACAGTAGCCAAAGCTTGGAAGGGGTTGGCACAAGTAACAGGATTTCACGATTTGGGCAGTGCTGAATATATGCCAATTGTGTGTGTTTTTGCCCTACAATGCTTGAATAATCAAAACACAAATTTCAAAAGCATTGGTTTATCCAAGGAGGATATTACAAAGTATCTCTTTTGTTTATCAAATGGTGCCTTGGAAAATATGAGACAAGTAATGAAAATGAAAGATATTGGATGAATACATTGTCCTGTTGTTAAATCACACCTCCTCAGACACACAGGTAGCACCACAAAAATAGATTCATTTCCTTGCAGCTTGTCAATAATACTTTGATGATCTGTCAAGTTCCGTAAATAGGGTTACACCTAACAAGCCATAATCTAACCAAATGAAGGCCTACATCCAGTCAATGAATAGAGACAAACCAAAAACATGGACCAATTTGTGTATTACCACATCCTGTCAAATAAAACAGGCTGTCAATAAAGTTTGTCTGTTAGAAGGGAGAGGAACTCAACAAGACAATATCTAAACAAAGTTGACCAAAGCAAGCAGACAGACAGCAATCATCTACAAATTGTCATTAATTTTCCTAGAATTCAGTGAAATAACACATAATCAACATCCTTCTATATAGTATCTGAATTACCGGTAGGAGATATTTTCATGTTGAGACACTTTGATTTTAGTACCAACCCTGCCTTTTAAAAAGATCAGTCTTCCCACATTAATCACCATATCTGACTGATACACCTCTGTAATAATCAAGTGACACACACAATTAGTGAAACAAAATGGAAAGAACTTGACATGAACTTGACTTCATGTACCATAGACAGAGCACAACAGACTAATTTAGCACTAGCATGTCCAATTTCACTAGGCAAATATCATTAATCAAAAGTCCAACAAGCACAGAGGGGAAATTCAATCCCCTGTGTGCTTTTGTTGTAAAAAGCCATCATAAAACACTTCAAAGGAGTTTGCGAAAAGCCGTTCATTTATACATAGATTTAGAGCTTAGCGAACTGAGATAAACAGCATTATCTTTATACTTACTTAAAGTCAGAAGGGAGAAAGATCCTAAGTTGGATTATCCCTTCTTTTTAAAGGCTCTGTTTGATGGAAATTGATCCTAAGCCCCCCTCACTCCACTCCTTATAATTGACTCTTGTTTAAATAAACTTTCTAAGATCAAAAAGATAATGGATTACCCCTGGTAGTTCATATTAGGTACAGACTACATCAGATCTCTTTAAATAATTTTCCATGAACAAAGTGTTATACTTGATTTTCATATATCAATTTGAAATGTTACCAGGGCCCCGTCTTACAAAGAGTTGATATCAATCGTAACTTATTTGCGATTGATATCAATCGTAACTATGTACATAAGAGATAGGAGACTGCAAACTTGCGATTGATTGGAGGACTTACGATTGATTTGGATCGATCGTAACTCTTTGTAAGACGGGGCCCAGGTCTATTATAAATAGACTGATAAGACATGATCAATCCATACAATCTTCTTTCCATGCACTTGTTATTCTGGGAGTAACTCAGTCATGACAGAGTACACACAAACAAGCAAGTGAACAAACAAAGTTGATGACTGCCTTCAGGTGTAATGATCCAACTCATGTTATGAAATATCTTCTTTTATCCATACTTATTCCATTCAATATAGTAGACAAATAAATGCATGATTAGTCAAGAAGTTCAACCTACTAGACCTACTCATAAACAAATATTATGCTCTGATTTTTGTAAAGAAAACCAAAAAAAGAAGAACATATTTGTGCAGTACAGATGAAATTGGGAGGCCTTGTGCGCATAAACATGAAGTCCTTGCACATTAGGCCCGTCTTCACTAGCTCGAGATTGCCAAATATCCCGCTTTTTGAACTATCCAGATCGCAAACTATCCAACTAATTTGCGTCTTCATCAGCCCGAAGTTGCAATTAGCGGGATATTTGGTCGGTATTGTCATCCCAAGATATCTTGGGAAAGTTTGCGAAATATCACACTATTTGGCAAAATATCCAGCCATTTGTCCGGTGCGTCTTCACCAGACTGAAGACTCGCACTATGCGCGAACACTGAGCAAAATATCTTGAGCTAATTTCTCAAGGTCGAATCTCGAGCTGATGAAGACGCGATTTGTAACTTCGGGATTATTTCCAAATCAGAAATATCAGGCTATTTGGCAATCTCGAGATGTTGAGGACGCGCCTATTGATGGTAAACCCTGCATTAGGGAAGATCGGTTTACGATGGTTTTTTTTTTCTTCAAAGAAATCTGGTAAATTCTGGACCAGGATTTGATATGTACATGTAACACCGTAGCCTGTACAAATTTAATACATCTGAACAAGACCCATTTTAATTTTCTTAATCTGTCCGTCTGATTTTAATAGGTTCATCTATTCATGTGTGAGTCTCTCTCTCTTTCTCTCTCTCTCTCTCTCTCTCTGTCTCTCTCTCTCATTTCCCTACTAATTCTCATGCTTTAATATAATCCCTTCTTCCAGCCTCACTGGATTCTTTGCTTACCTGTCTTTTCGTTTCCAGAGCAATACAGTGATGTCTGAGCATTTGAATGAGCAAATAAAGCTGACTTTCCAAATGATTCCTCACTGCTGCACAGACTTCCTGAAAGTATTATCTTTCACAAAAGAACCCAATCCTCTAATATAATGCCCATTACAAAAGCTGTATTTGATCAAACTGGCCGACACAAAAACTACTGGTAGCTAACTAATGATACAGAATTAATCCTTTCATTGAACTGGTAAATCAACTGGAAGACTAGTAGAGACTGAAAAACATGGATTATAGGGATATCTTCTTCAAAAACAAGCCAGACATCCGTTCCGTTTCTTTGTTGTTTGCTCTCTACCTGGAAACTAAGGTATGTCACAGTTCAGCTGTGACAGAGATTGTATTTTATGGATGACGAGGTAAATTATGGATCATTATCTAATATTGTGGATCACAATGTCTTATCAAAATTGCAATCATATAAACATGACAACTAATGTAATTTTTTATCAACTTAATAAATATGTGTAAGCTG